ACACACTCTCTCTCTCTCTCTCTCTCTCTCTCTCTCTCTCTCTCTCTCTCTCTCTCTCTCAATAATAACAATAAATTATTTCTGGAATTATTACCTTGAATTCTTGTTTCTATTCATTACATTCTCTTAGCTTTAAATTGTCTTGATTATTATAGTTTTATTTTTTTTAATTATCTTTATATATTAGTTTTATTAATAAACGTATACTAATAGTATTAATTCATTACATTCTGGAAAAAATGTATAACTTACATTATTTCAAATAATGTCATAATGGTATATCTGTATTGATATCAAGTGTTTCTCTTGAAAACACAATTAGATAAGATATTAAACGAGGGTTGAAATACTGTAATGTAAAATTTTCCATAGTCCTCGAGAAATTCTCAGATTAGCATCTAAATTAAACTTTAATTTCGTGCATTTTTTTCTATTTTTTACTTCTTATCTAATTGCCTAGCAAAAAATTGATATCAAGTGTTTCTCTTGAAAACAATTAAATGAGATATTAAACGAGGGTTAAAATACCGCAAATGTAAAATTTTCCGTAGTCCTTGAAAAATCTCAGACTAGCATTTAATCTCGCATTTTCTCAATTTTTTTTTACCTAACTGCCCAAGAAAAAAATTTTACACAATTTAAAATTAAATAATCTGATTATTATACATGAATATATGTATATATTTTGTTATATTTACAATTATATTACACGTTTTTAAAGATTTGTTATTTATATGAGTTTCACGAATAAGAGAATTTAAATGCAAAACACTTTTGGCAAATAACAATCTGATTAGTAATTAAGAATCGCTTTCGCGCACGGAAAGATCCTATCAATATCTGCCGAGTTCGCGTACACTACGAGAGATTCTTGAAAATACGTCTAACAAATTAAAAAAAAAAAGTTGATTTACCGCGCTCATTTCATCATGAGGTAGAGATGAAAGGCAGAGCACGTGATGCACATGAAGTAGCGCGAAGTATATGCGGCACCGCGCGGGAACTGGTATCTAATCGAAGGACAGCTTTATCCGACTTTACGCGGATTTGTTTGACCAATCGGTGGCTAACGAGCGGCATAGTTCTCAGAGCCGCGTCCTCGAGCGGGCTGCAGATGCGAAGAGTGCGTGGGAGTCTTCGTCTACCGTTGGTCTAGAATTCGCGACAGTGGCGAATCTCGATGTACGAAATTATTCCGAGCGGCGCTTCCGGATGGGTCGTTATCTTTGCCGCGGGGCAAAGGGAACTTTTAGTCATTAATCGTATCTTTGCAGATTCCGTTAGATCGCCTCACGAAATATTCCGAAGAAGAAACCTACGCGTATAAATTAGAATTCGCGAGTAATTGTTGCGCGTGAAGTGTTGACACCTACTGTGTACCGATCCACCGATACATCCAGTTTGTTATAAAATCTCATGGAAATATCACGAAGCGGTGAACAAAAGCGTGAAAAAGGATCGCGATCTCGTTTAGAGTATCGCAAGAGAGTGCTACCTTACCTCGATATCTTATCGTGAAGTATATTGGCGGGTGAAGATAGGATAAAGATATTGCTCCCCTGCGAGAGCGATTCGCCGCGGGATCCTGGGTCTCGATACTTCATCGGCGAAAAGGTCCGGGGCAGTTTTTCGCGCGCAGCGATTAACGACTATACATTCCGCCGTCGAAAATTTTTCAAGATTGATCCTCGCTTCCTTGCATCTCGCGTTTCTGCATCTGTGCGGCATAATGGTTACAACGGAAAAGATAGAAGACGACACCTATGTAAGACTTTCTAGAATTATGTGCAAACACACGAAGCCCGGGCATTTTTTCCTATTAAATTCACTTTTTTCAGAGGCAAGGTGGATATACCAACGAGGCCTTCCATATGGACGGTTTCGACTCTCACGAGAATATTCCACCCGATTACGCAACAGCGACGCGTCCCGATAAACGGCAGGAGCCTCCTGAAAGTTTAGTGCGTATTACATTGACCTCGTCGTATGTGCAGGTCCACATCTGTGGAAATAACGTCGTCGATTATACGAAATAAATTTTCGGATTGTCAGGCGGTCGCAAAGGGGGCGGAATGGGGAGGTAGACTGGAGTTTCTGATGGCCTGCATAGCCACTTCCGTCGGACTAGGAAATGTGTGGAGGTTTCCGTTCACCGCGTACGAGAACGGCGGCGGCGCCTTCCTGATACCCTATATCGTTGTTTTGATCCTGGTTGGAAAGCCCTTTTATCTCTTAGAGGGTCTCTTGGGACAATTCACCAGCAATTCTTGCGCAAAAACATTTAACATGACGCCGGCCATGAAAGGTGAGATGATCCAAGGAAAATAGAAACGGTCTGTACTTTTTTTTCTTACAGATTTTTTATCTAACTCTTAAATGCGCATGACTTGTTCTAAGTCTTGGTGTTCACGATACTAGAAATCGTTCCGAGATCTCAGACAGAGAAAGAATTGACCAATCGGTCGAATAGCCAAATTGTTCGAATGCGATTTATTCTTTTTCCACCCAATCTCAGAGCGATTTCTAGCATCATGGACACAAAACTTAGAACAAGTTATGCACATTTAAGAGTTAAATTATAGTTCTTTAATTAAAAAAAAAAGTAGACCGTGTCTATTTCGAAAGTGATTTCTAGCATTGCAGATACAAGGCTTTACGAAGATCTGCAAAAATTAAGATTTTAATGAATTTAAACCATGGATATTTGGCCCGTGGATGTTTAAAAAGTATCTTTCAGATTTCTTTAAAAATTACTTAATCTTATAATTACTTATAATGAATACTTTTTACTTATTTAAATACTAAATTATAAAGATTTGTTTGATTGTATCAAAAGTAAAATGTTAATTTACAAAAAAATCTCTTTTAAGGATTTGTTTTACGTAGTCAAATGTTAATTTATTTTATAATAAACTTTTTTTTCTTACAAATAACACGTAGCTTACTTTACTTCTTTTGATCCTGCGACATCGAAATCTGCGACATTCCTCGAGATCTGTTTTCAGGACTGGGATACTCGCAGGCTTTCGCCGCGTTCTGCGTCGTTTCGTACTACTGTGCCTTGATGGCATTGACCCTGTACTATTTGGTGTCGAGTTTTCAGTCCGAATTACCGTGGTCGTTCTGTCGTCCGGAATGGAAAGATTACTGCATCGACATCTCGACGAACAAAAGTATCTCCGAGTATCGAAGTAACGTCACCGTTCGAAGTTCCGCGGAGCTGTACTTCAGGTTCGAGACTGAAATACTCGTAGCATTAATAATTTTTTTAAGTTTTATTAATATTTGAGAGTTGTCATTATTAATATTATTAATATTATTATTAATATTATTTGATACACAGCCTTGGTCGTAAGTATAAGTATTCTCAACTTATTGCATTTATTTAGAAAAGATGGTAATGATAATAAAAAAAGGATTAACAAAAATTAAAATTCAAATAATCATAAAAAATATTAGTTTTAATAAAACTTTTTTTAAGTTTATTTCTTGCGAGATACAGATCGTTTACGTAAATTTATGGGGATGCCTTGTACTTGTGGCCAAGACTGCATTTAATATCCAACGTTTTCGGACGACCTTCGAGGAGTGACTAGTACGATGTTTTTTCATGATTTTTAGGAAGATAGTATTACAGGAGTATGAGTCCATCGAGGACGGTATCGGCGCGCCATCCTGGCAATTGTCGATATGTCTGTTTATCAGTTGGGCGTTCATCTTTGGCGTGCTTTTCCGCGGCGTGAAGAGCACGGGCAAAGCCGCCTACTTTCTCGCGATATTCCCTTACATCGTGATGACGGCCCTGCTGGTCAGAGCCGTTACTCTTGAGGGTGCCATCGATGGCATCCTCTTCTTCGTGACGCCAAAATGGGACGCCCTGTGGAAGCCCACTGTCTGGTACGCCGCTATCACGCAATGTTTCTTCTCGTTGTCAGTCTGCTTCGGCCCGATCATCAACTATTCGTCCTACAACAATTTTGAACACAGAGTGGACAGGTATATAATATGCATAACATATATATATACAACGAAAGACAACATAATAAATAGATTAAAAATATTAATGAAATAAATTGAAAATATAAATCGAATAAAATCACTAAATAAAGTAATAATAAATAAACTAAAACTAAATAAAATGCTTTTAAAGTATCCTGGCTGAGGTATTTTTCGCAACAATTTCATTGCAGTGTTTTAAGATGCTTATTCGCATGGGATTATTAAAAATTGAAGATTAATCTAATTGTGTGATCTCACTATTCCAGCTTCAGCTTATGATTGCCAATCCAACATTAATTCGGCGCACAGTTTAAATGACTGAATAATGATTTAGAATTCATATACAAAATTATTAGGCACCAGTCTAAGATTCAGCTCCAACCGTAGAAGGCGTTCTCAAATTTAATTGTGATATTCACTTACGCGGTCTAGTTTAACTTATTATTGTTTACATGTTTTTAAAATCTACTTTTAAAATTATTTTAACAAAATATTTTTCAACTTACGTTATTGTTACAAGCTTCTCAATTTTAGTTTTTAAAGGATTCGCATGAAGCTAAAAGATAAATTTCTATTTTATTTTGCTTATTTTCTATAAGATGTGATGATAGTAAATGACAAACTATAAGTAGATTAGAGAATTTATTAATAAAATAAATATTTACTAAAAAAATAAAATAATAATTAATTTCAAATTAAATTAGAAGCAATGGGTTCTAAAGAATAAATCCATATAGTGAAAATAGCCTATAAGAGCCGACATGGGTGTTGGTATGTTAAAATTCTTATTGTTACAATATCCACCACACTCAATCTGCGCACCACTCGGTTTGTCGGACTTGAAACACAGCTCTTTGCGTGAAGTCGGAAACTTGTAACTTATAATTAAATTGACAAACAATTTAATATCTTTCGATGCTATTATGCATCTATAAATTCCCCTTCCCCAAGCTTGTAAAGAACTTATTGCAAAAAATAACACCTTAGTTCTCAGCCAGGAATCGAACCCGGATCTCTACGTTTGCTCGGACGAGCTTGTCCTACCTTTAGACCACCGAGGCATGTGATATTTCTCTATTAATACTGATATACTATATAACGCATATTTTCAGGCAGCGTAAATTCAAATTACAAGATATTAAATTGTTTGTCAATTTAATTATAAGTTACAAGTTTCCGACTTCACGCAAAGAGCTGTGTTTCAAGTCCGACAAACCGAGCGGCGCGCAGATCGAGTATAATGGATATTGTAACAATAAGAATTTTAACACACCAACACTCGTATCGGCTCTTATAGGCTATTTTCACTATATAAATAATTAATTTAATTTAATTTAAAAAATACTTTTAAACTCATTTTTTTACTTTGTTGTTGCAAGGTTCTCAATTATAATAGTTCTTAAAAAATTCGCACGAGGACAAATATAATTTCCTATTTTATTCTGCTTATCTCTTTAGGGATGTGATGATAGTGACCACGCTGGACACATTCACCAGTCTGATGGCCGGTTGCACGATCTTCGGCATTCTCGGCAATCTGGCCCATGAGATGAAAACAAAGGATATCGACAAAGTGGTCCGCGGTGGCACCGGCTTGGCCTTCATCTCCTATCCGGACGCGTTGTCACGCTTCACTTTCGTGCCGCAACTGTTCTCCGTCCTTTTCTTCGTCATGCTATTCGTTCTTGGCATTGGAAGCGCCGTCGCATTGTGCGGCGCGACGTTTAGCATCTTCCGCGATCATCTGCCTAACGTGAGGCAGTGGTTGCTGGTACTCTGCGTCACCTGTTTTGGTTTCGTCGTCAGCCTCGTCTATATCACCCCGGTGCGTTATAAAACAGGTCACCCAAGCCTGTGCACAAAAGTACACACACACACGTAGTTATGACACAAACATATTAGTCATAAATGTTACGCGTCTAACCGATACCTGATAACTAATCGTGCACGTGTTTAAACGATATAGAAGTACGCGCAAAGTTCCATACGCGAAACGTTAACATGAAGAAAAACAGAGTTCTTTACATTCAATATTTCTGTTCGTTGGCTTACATTCTTTGGCTTACATTTATTTCATTAAAACAATAATATACAGCCTTGACCGTATGTATAAAGCACCTTCATTTTATTGCATTTTCTTAGAAAGACGATAATAAAAGCCAAAGAAAAAAGTAAATATTAAAATTGTTATAAAGATAAATTATTTTTTTAAATTGTTAATTGTTACAAATTACTTAGTAAAATTGTTTTTTAATTAATTTTTGTTTAGCTATAGAACGTTTATGTCAATTTGTATTGGGCACTTTATACTTATTATGGTCTCAGCTTTAAATGAAACATTATTTTGTTGAATATAATTTTTTTAATTTTGTTGCATTAAACCATATTATTTGTAAAAAAAAACATGATTGTTTTAAACCATTTTTTTCGAAATTTGTTAAATTTTAAAGAAATATTTCTCTCTGTGTACTGAATTTATTCAATATTGAAATTGCTAAATGAGTGAAGATTAGAGTTTAGAGATTATGTAGAACGGAAAGTATAGGACAAAATTATTTTCCTACATTATCCATTATAAATCGTCGTTCATTGCTCTTAATTGTAAATGTAAAACAAATTTGTACATTTTTTCAAATAACCAAGAATTTCGAAACTCTCGAAAAGCAAAGACTTTCAATGGAATGTCGATGAAATTCCATTAATGTTTAATAAATGCTCATCACAGGGTGGTCAATGGTTCATAATGTTGATCGATTACTACGGCGGTACTTTCGTGGCGATAATCGTCGGCGTTCTCGAGTTAGTGACTGTCTTCTGGATATATGGCCTCTCGAATTTTCTCAACGACATGGAATTCATGCTGGGCAAGAGGCTAAGCTTTTACTGGCGATTTTGTTGGTTCATAATCACGCCCGTGCTCATGATCGTCATACTGATTTACACGTGCGCCACTTACGAGCCGCCCACATACGATGGCGCACGGTTTCCCGACTACGCCTATGGTCAGTGAAATTTTTTCGGCTTTATAATTTTATGTGTTTCCGAATTCAACATTTTTTCTATTGAAATTATACAAAATCGTAAATTACATTGTGAACCACAGATCATTTAAGGATTGTCATTGATGACACTTTCGTTTTTCCATTTTCAGGAATAGGATGGTTTGTGCTGGTTTTAGGCATATCTCCTATTGTGTGGTGGATCGGACATAAAATAATTACTCATAGAATGTCATCTTTCACCGAGGTAGGTATTTCGAGATATATTTGTAATGGAACTAATCGAATTCATATGCGGGAAAAAAATAATGTTGTATAATAATTAAAAATTATCTTGTTCATTCAATGACAGTAGAGACCCTTTAATCAAAGTCGCGAAATAATGATCAATCCAATTTTGATTGGTGCCGACATTTTTCAGCAAAGACCGGAAATAGCCATGGTCAAATGCCATTATCAATTAATATATTATTAATTTTTTTATCTAATACTAAATTTCACAAAAAAACACTTTAATAATATATTTTGACATTTGTATTTAGATGTCCATATGTCTATAGGCTAATATATGTCATTTTGTAACATATGTCATTTTACAACACAGCCAACATGGCTAATATAATAGTGTGATAATGTTCGCTATTTCCGGTTTTTGCTGAAAAATGGCGTTGCTCGACCTAACTTTCCTGCGCCATTTCGCGACTCTGATTAAAGGGTCTTTAAATGACAGTATTTGTTTTATTAATATTGTCATTGAATGAATAAGATCATTTTCAATTAGACTTGTTGGCTGTTGGATAATGTTGTTAATGCAACATTATTTGTTTTTCCATTCAGTTAAAATAAAAAATCGTAGACTAATCCTTGAAATTCGGAAACGCATTACAGTCTGTCAAGGCGGCTTTTCGGCCCGCGGGAGGTAAATGGGGGCCTAAAAGTCCGAAGATACACAGGGAATGGGAAGTGTTTGTGACGGAGAAGAAATTTGGAGCTCAAGGCGGTCTGATGAAAATGTTTTTTAAATAGAAACTCAGCTTTATTTATTACTTCCTTGTCCATCTAAGTCAATTATCCGATTCTATTCAACTTCTATTAATTAGCTAAATGTAGTAGAAAAAATAAAAATTATTTTACGCAATTATATTCTATAAGAATGTATCTTTAATCGATTTTTAAAAAGTAAGATATTTTTAATAAAAAGTAAGTATCTTAGTACACCAAATTAGAATAACGAGGTATTCTTTTAAAAATCCAATTTAATACTGAAAGTTATTTATTTTGAGTATTAAAAGTACTGCTGTTTCAATACTTTTAAAATAAGTAATTAATCTAATTTTGTATTAATTTTGTATTATATATAAGTTAATACAAAATAAATAATCATTTCAGTATTAAATTTTTTAAACATATAATCAAAGATGTTGTAAATATCATGAAGACGCGAATATCGAAAGTATATACAATGAATCGTGCTTCCTGATTTATGTCTTTGAGTTGTGAACGCGTCGTATCTACAAAACATTGTTGTTGTAATTATAAGCGGATGATTCGAGTCACCAGTCGCATTGTATAGTATCTGGACGATCGAATTTATGTGGTCTAACATAATTCAATGGTTCGATTCTCTCCTCTTTAAAATCCGCCGGGATTTATTGTTACGTGCTTCAGGAATTAGTCAGATGAAGCGTGTCATTATAGAAATCCGTTTGACCGCGTTTGCCTCTCCGTAGCACTCGATGCTGCGCGCGCACTGCTCGATAATTGAAATTTTTACTTGCGACCCTGATAAGCTTTTCTCGTTTGTCCGTTTGACTCGAGATAAAGGAAATTACATTGACATTATGCAACTGACGCGTGCAAAATGCGTTACTTTCCGAAGCCGCGAAAGGACGATCGAACGAATTGAATTTAAGCAATACCGAAAACTCGACAGAAGAATTCCTTTCGAATCGAGTGTTATTTCGTAAATTAAACGAGGTATCTGCAACATATCTGTTTACGCAATTATAATTTACCATAATATCGTAATTATTCGCGCGTATGTCAAGCTCCAAGAAGCGTCCTTATTATATTCGAAGCGGAATATCCCCAGACGACAATGACGACATTGGCATTAATCACTTTAGTTTCGCTTCGAAGCATCGGATCAACTGGTGTAAGCGACGAAATCAATTACGGGAGTTAATCGCCGCAAGTATGCTTCGATATATCTTGTGACAGAAAATGTCATTCAAATTATTCATTGGTGTTTACCTTGGCTAGAATTTGCGAATCTTTAAACAACAGATGTGCACAGCATAAAATCGAACGTCTGCAAGAAATTCATCTCTCTGTTTGTAATACACGAAGCATTTTCTGATTTTACTATTTATTCATTTATTATTTCATTATATTTTCTTAATGTCAATTTCGTACGAGATTCGCTTTTCACTGGAAAAAAGAGAGAAACGAGATAACGATAAGATAAAGATAAGATTTAAGTAGAGATTTCCTGTCTGAAGTAAATCTTGATTGATTGTCGATCTTTCTCTCTTCCGCGAGCGAGGAGAAACCGCATCGAGAAATACATTCTTCTTGTACCGCCAGTGAAATTGCACGCAGGCGGAAATTCAAAAGGTAAAAGGAAAGATTCCTTGCTGCGCAATCGCCTGTTGCTATTACATACGTATATAGGTACGACTGCGGATTTATGTAAAAACAAATGGAATGGTGTAAGATGTGACAAAATAGGAGGAAACAAAAAGAGAAGGAGCAGGAGGAGGAAGAGAAGGTGGAGGAGAAGGGGTAAGAAAAACGTGGAAGTCTGATCGAGCATGATTATCGTGACTACTCGTGCGCGCGCTTTAATCTGACGGAAAGGATCGCGAGTGCAGATCTGTATGCATGGATACGCCAAACGTCGCGCGAATTCTTTAAGCAGTCCGTCAAAGACTGCCGGTCGGCTAAGACGCGAGGCAAGAATTCCGAAAAAAAGGGGAGCCAGACGGTATAGATGGTAGTCGTGCCTTGTGCCGGAGTAAAATCATGGGTCACATGAAGATACGCGTATGTTATGTTTTGCAACATAAAGAAGTAATTTCGTGCCTGTTAGGATCAATCGCAAATAATTTAGCATTTTGTGAAAAGGCGTGCGAAAGGTGTGAATAAATGGAAAAATTCACGAGTGATATTTTTCCAGAAACGCTTCTCCTTGTTGTAAAATTGATGACAATTAGGAATGTAATGTATGATTTTAGTATATATATATATATATATATATA